AATGCAGAAAGTGAAAGACAGTTGGAGAGTTGTAAACCACAGAGACATTATTCCAACAGTTCCTCGTTTGATGGGTTATTGCCACGTGGCTCAACCCGTTTATCTTGCAACTGGAGATCTGAAAGATGCCTTGGTGGGTACTTATTACAGTTTTCCTTTATCTTTTGCCAATCTTCTTTTGTGCATTCTGTTAAAATGATTCATAAAAAATTAAATTTACTATATTAAATTTCCTTTATCTTTTGGTGGTGATTTAATGTGGTATTAAAGTAGAATGTTTTTGAACTCCAATGATTGTCATTTCATCCCCAGTTAATATAGATGACTACTTATTGGGACTTGTGCAAATTCCAAGCCTGTAAAGTATCGATAACAAAATTAAGTTTCTTGTAACCTATCAGCTTAGACTCTTAGATTCAATTGAGATTTAACCAATTTGAACTTGGTATAATCGGTGCATGTGCTAAAATTTTATTAGTTTGACAACGTTTGTTCCCGCAAAGGCATTTTCAAGCAACTAGGAATTATGATCTTCAGTATTTGGGAGAAAAAGACATTCTACTTTTTCTTTTTGTGCAAAATTGGTGTGGAGAAAAAGACATTCTTCAGTATATGAACATGCTCAAATTGATTCTACGTTAAATTGACATTTTACTTCTGCAATCAACAATCAAAGTGGACTCAAGTTACAATCCAAGCCAAGAATGGCCAAATTAAGGGTAAAAAAGAAAAAGACATTTGAGTTCAATAGCAAATTGATTAATGCAATTGCTACGAGCTATCCAGGAAAATATGGAGCTTCAAGCAGATGGTTATCAAGGTGATGTCATTGGGGAGGCCACACCAGATGTTTTAGTCAACGAATTTGTAAGTTTGTTGCCTTTTTATTATAATCCTGAAACCGATCTATCTATGGACCAAATTTTACTGTTCTTGAGATCAATGCTCATTATTTCTGAATTTAACCATTCTGCAGATGAAGGGTGAAAAGGAACTTGTTGAAAAACTGCTGCACACAGAAATAAACATATTCCGTGCAATTAGAGATGGAAGTGCGCTTATGCAACACATGGAGGATTTCTACTACATTACATTGCTGGAGGTAAATCAATGTCTCTGTCTCTCTCCATACATTTTATGTCTAAACCGCCATAATTTTCACACTCTTGTTCTGGTCCGTAAACTTTCAAATATTATATATTAGTCCTCTCAACTTTCAAATATTATATATTAGTCCTCTCAACTTTCAAATACTCTGATACTTGATTTGTTACCTCTGATTTTAAACACTTGTTCATGTAGATAGCTGCCCATTAAATGGGTGAGAAAAAAACATGCATACTTTATGTTTCTATTAAACAATTACTTTAAATTTTGTTTGTCCTTGAACTTTACTTCACCTTAAATTTTTTTTTTTTTTAATTCTAGCTGATTAATAGAGATCTACATATTTGAACACCTAGTAGGTTTGGTGTCGGGTTTTGAAATAGATTTAGGTTCTTGTCAGATTAATAAAAATTTAATGCTAAGGAGTAAAACATATATATATATTTTCATAATTATAGGAACTAATATAGGACATTTGAAAGTGTAAGGACCTAAACGAGAATAAGTATGGAAGGTAAAGAAAAGAAATAGAATTTGAACTCCAAATAATTGTATTAAAAAATTAACATGGTTTAAATGATTTTCTATTCAAAGTTTAGGGACAAACAAAACGTTTAAAACTTTAGGAACCAAAATAGAATAAGCAGGAAAGCTCAAAAACTAAAATAGGATTTAAACATTTTATATAAATTAGTCTTCACAAAAGCATATGTTTTGGTAAATCACGTTTGAGCTTTGTTTCTATGTTCAGAATGTGAGGTCTAACTACCAAAACGTTGGCAACTTACAATCGGACCAACAGGGTGACTTGTGAATTGGCTAAGGTTCTCTGCCATATCAAAGCGTGCACTGCTTTACCTCTTTTAGGCGTTATATTCCAATTCAGTCAACTGCAATTGTAGTACGGTGGCTGATTATTGAAGTTGTACAACTACTGCAATAAAGCTAGTTTATATTTCTTCTATATAGCTTTCATTGTCGACATTTGTATATCCTGACCTTGTTATTTGTGGTAATGTAAAATGTGCATAAACCTCAAAACAACTTGTTTAAGGAAAATTGCTTAGGATACAAGGTCCAGAGGAAGCGATAGAAAAGGAAAAAAAATGTGCAGACACTTTTTGTTAGCTTTTGGTCGTCCTAAGAATTATATTGAATCGCTGAAGTGGTTGCTTGGTCAATTTTTAACTTGATGTCACCTCTTTCTTCCTACTTTTCCAAGTATAAGTTCAAGTGAACGAGTTTGAATCTAAAACTTGTATGGTAAATTTTCTGGAGGGGGAGAATTTATTCGCTATACCATTGAACCTTCAACCTCAAGAAAGATATTTGATATCTTATCTATTGAGCTTAGATATTTAGATTAGTGTAGAGATGGTAAAATTACAAAAGGTTTAGATTTTATATTATAAATAATTGTGAAAGTGGCAGTAGAATAATGAATTTTTATATACTTGGACTAAGGGCTTATGCAAGCTATAAATTTGAGGTGCGCCATTGAGGAAATTTTACACCAACTTAAATTGAGGGCGAATTTTCATGTGTCTGTTTTCTCTATCTTTAATCTACTTACAGTTGTTAGATGCAGAAGTTTTCTATTTATAATCTTGACATTTGATTTTATTTGAAAGTAGTGAAACAGTTGAACTAAATGGGTTATTTAATATAATTTAATATTTTTATGTATTTATGGTTCAAGTTTTAACATTTGATCATTATTATTGAAGTCCGATACATCTGGTGGGGCAATACAATACAAGATGTATTTTTTTAGTACAACATGTAGGGAGTTAGGATTGAACTTACAACATCTTGGTTAGAGATATATATCAATTACTATTGAAATAAACTCGTTTTTGTTAAATTTTATTTGGTTTGTTAAATATATTTATATTTCATAATTAATTGATAGACAAATGAAATCTAATGTTAGATTTGTAAATGATAGAATTTTCTTAGTTTTGGTATATTGATCTCGTATCTATCAATGAGACAATTGTCAGCATTTCAGTTTTTCATTTTGTGATACCTTTATAGAGATGTAATCATACCTCATGTCTCACTGTTGAGGGGTGTTCTTTTCAAAGAAAGTTTGAGATATATATTTAAGAAAGACAGAAACATAATGACAAAGGAATGTAGAATGATATAGTAATTTTAAAATAAATGGATAAAGTGCATGACCATTATATTTGGAAATTTTAATTTGGGAAGTGTTCAAATTTACAAATATTTTTACAACAATATTACTAGAGAAGAGATCAGAAAGATCTTACTAAAAGTTGGCCACTGTAATCTGACTGTAGGCAATTTCAAAAGAAACTCCACCGTCTTGATTCAAGGCCCTCGTATTGTGAATACGTTGTCAAAGTTTCTGCACAATCAGACCACGGATCATCTCCAAATGTGTAGGAATACTTTTGTACGTATTCGGCCATTTCTTTTCTTTTCTTTTTCTTCTATTTTTCTCTCTCACCAGCTCACTCTCATGCGTGACATAGACCAACCACCGCCCTCTGTTTTAAACAAAAAAATAAACCTAAGCCCACCATATGGGCTTTAGTTGGGCTTCACAAAAATAGTGAAAGCCCCAACAAATTTCCCATTTTTTGTTGTGCGAAGGAGATTGTCATTATAGTAATGAGGCGAAAAAACTAAAGCTTTTTTCTCAATGAATTTTTTGTCAGCATATCGATCCATTACAATCAGTATATATCTCTCATCCAGTGATACCTCGCATCTATATGTTCAGTTATGGATTGAAACTTTGAATTCTTACCAAGATAAATAGCACTTTGATTATCAAATAATATCATATACTGTCGTTGTTTGAGATTGAGTTCCTGTATAAAGTGTTTCATCCACAACATCTCCTTGCACGTCTCTGTTGCTACAATATACCCTAATTCATCATATAAAGTGCAACGCACCTCTGTAATCTTGACTGTTATGGTATTGCATCACCTGCAAATGTCATCAAGTAGTCGGAAGTAGATTTTAGGTTATCTAGATCACTTGCCTTATCTAAATTAATGTAATCGACAAGCATTGGCTTTACACTTTCAAAAGTGAGCTTCAAACTGGAAGTGCCCTACAAATATCTCATGATATACTCAGCTGCCTCCCAATGTTGTTTTCTTGGAACTGTACGTAAAATGACTAATAACACAAACAACATGAGCAATATATGGTCTATTGCATATCCTAACGTACATCAATTTTCCAACTTTTTCTTTACAGAAAGTTCTCAACTATTGAAGCATATGGAACTATGCTCATGTATTTCCTCCTCTTTATCGGTAGAAGAACTCTGGTTGCTACTAAATTTGAAATGATTGGATAAAGGAAAATTGACTGCTTTAGCTTTGTTCGTATTGAATCTTTCAAGTACCTCCTCTATATAAGGCTGTTGAGACATATACAATTTCTTGGATACTTTGTCTCATGTCATACGAATTCCAATAATCTTCTTCACTGATCACAAATCCTTCATGGCAAAGGATTTGCTCTTTTTTTTTTTTTTTTTGAAATAAAAGGATTTGCTCAATTGTTTTTTCAATGTATCAATTTTTGAAATATTCCTGATCAACATAAAGCAATAGTGTAATAAAGTCACTATCAGAAAACTTTTGCATAAATGGTTGCAAATAAGTATTCTTTCGCTTTTAAAACTAAACTACGATTAAGATAAATAGAATAACAAGGAAATTAAGTCGGAAACAATAGAAGTGATCACAATCCACAAGAAATGATCAGAAAAAGGGGAGAGGTTAACTTCTATTGCTTTGTTGCTACTACCTAATGCTCTCTGGCATCAAAATCCACTACAGCCAAACAGACACGATATTCTTCCGAATCATCCAGATTTTGTTTTCATCACTTCCATTGCTTCATGAATTATTCAACTCAGTTTTTAGGCAACACTAGTGTTCCCCTTTAATCGACATTGCATTTACTTGTGTTCTGTTTATGATTTCTTGTTATTTTATAATTAATGTCATTCATTATTATAAGTTTGGTATGATTGGTATTCTTAAGTGTATTTTTGAAGTATTTTACTCAAACCCTGTGAATTTTGACATTGTTTACCACTACAAACGATATTTATAGTGTACACTTACACTTGAACTCACGTGGTTGTGTGGAACTCAACAACATGCGCCTCTGCATTTTTCCAAACAATAAAAGCGCCTAGAGAAAGCCGCTACTTAGCAGAGATCTTCAATGCTATAACAAAGCCTGGGACCAGCACAAAATGCCACAAATGAATGTAATGTTTACAACTTTTTGAAATAAAGCTGAAAAGTGGTTGAATCTAAAAATATCATTATTTAAGCTCTAAATACATGCAAGTCAAGGTTGAAATCTTCCTTAATACCCAACTTTACACTAAAATAAATTCAAAATAACTCTTTTCTTGAGAGTTATCATAAACCCACTTATTTTTTAGTGTGACTTTCTCTTTAGGCAACTTGACAAACTTAAAATTGTAGTTTCCATGCAATGACTTCATTTCATCTTTCGTTGCTTCAGTCCACCCTCTTTTGTGCTCATTTTTCATGACATTCTCATAACTTTTAGGCTCTCCTCCCTTAGCTAGTAATACATGCTCATTAACAGGATATCAATGCATTGACAAATCTCCTAAGTGAAAGATCTATTGGAATTTTTGTTTTCAACGACTGATCATGAACATCATCATCTACTTAAACCTCGTATGGACCCTCTACCTCATCTGTATCATCAAGCTTATCATTTTAAACCTCATTCTTAGTTTGTGTGTAAGGTTGTGTTAAAGGAACTAAATCCAAGTCAATCAAATCATCACTGTGTTGAAACTTTGTTTCATATATCTTCTTGATGTCTTGTATGGTATGGTCTTCTACAAATACAACATCTCAACTTCTTAAGAGCATTTTCTGTATTGGATCATACAGTCTCTAACCGAACTCATCTTGGTCATAGTCAATGAACACACATGATCTTGTCTTTGTATCAAGCTTTGATCTATCATCTTTGTGAACATGTACGCAGGTGATTATAAGACATTTCCTTACCTAACCAAATTCTATTTGGGACTTCAAAACTCAAAGGAACACATGGCGTGAGATTCAAAACATGCAAAACTGTACTCAATGCTTCCCACTTAGAAAGATCTTAGTAACTGTGACTGTGAAAGCAAGCATCTTACCCGTTCAACTAGTGTTATGTTCATTCTATCAGCTAGGCCCATTTAACTGAGAAGTCTTAGGAGGTGTCTTTTGATGTCGAATACCATGACGTTTACAATACTCATCAAAAGGTACATAATGCTCACTTCCATTATTGGTCCAATGTACTTTGACTTCTTACCAATTTCTCTTTAACAAGAGCATGAAATTGTTTAAATACTTGCAACATCTACTCTTTAGATTTCAACGTATACCATATTTTCCTCGAATGATCATCTATAAATATCACAAAATATAAGGAACCTCCCATCAGACCACGTACATCAGAATATACCAAGTCAAGTATATTTAGCTTCCTTGAGTGCTGAAACGCCTTAAAAGAAACTCTTGTTTGCTTCATTGCTAAGACATGAGCACTTGTTTTCAAAGGTGCATTCTTTATACCAGAAAAATAATTCTTCTTGGCCAAAATCATTAAGACCTTCTCACTAATATGACTAAGCCTTTTATGCCAAGCTCAACGATCTTTCCATCATCCACTACACTTATGGGAATCAGTAACATTTGCCTACATCAAATATAGTGAGGAACACTTCTCTCCCTAGCTACAACCATTGAGCCTTTAGTAAACTTCTACTTACCACCATAGAGGGTATTTAAAAAAATCTTCATCATCAAGCTTACTTGTGGAGATTAAATTCATGCAAATATCAGGGATGTGTTTCACATTCTTCAAAATCTGCATAGTATCATTCTTGGCCTCCAAGCGTACAACAACAATACCACAGGGTTTACCTAATCCATAATTGTCAATCCTAACACTGTTGAAATCACCACATCTGTAGGATGTAAAGAATCACTCTTAGATGTATCATGAATTGACGCACTACTATTCAACTACTCTATTGTGTAGATAGATTTATAACATCACCATAAAATAATATAAGGAACTCCTCAGTAGTTGTTAAGTCCACACAACTGTGCTGACAACACGTGCAAGTATACACGAAATCATCG